ATGTTTGCAGGTGCTTCTAAGATTGTATTGATTTTCGTCCTCACTGTTTTCGCCCTGATTTGTCATATCTTTCCTATCTCTGCTATATTGTAAAAATACCCGCAAACAGCGGGGACTCGCTGTGCGTAATTGTTTTTAGTTGTTCCTTTTGCTTTTTCCAATCTCTGGACCATTGCTTAATGCATTTTCCACCGGTTTCCTGAAATCCTTCTTGTTGTTCAGCGACACCTATTAGGTTGTTCGGAAAGAAATGCGCGTTTCGAGTTTAAAAATTTTTTTATTATAAAAACGAAATTAAACAAGATTAATTCAAAAGATAATCTCCATTACTATCAATGACTTGTTGCCAACGTTTATGCAAAGAATGGATTCCTCTTTCGAAGAACTCGGCCGGCTGCGACTCAAAGTAGTTGGACACCCAGAGTTGGACTTCTTCGCGGTTTGTGAACTTTCTCTCAGGGAGTGCTGCATCGACCGGAATTGAACTTTCTTTAAAAAAACAAAGTAGACATAGACAAAAATATATCAAAAGATGCACAATAAAAATCTCTTTCTAATAGACAAAACTGTTTTAAAAATCTTCTATAGTAGGAGAGAAATAATGGACAAATTCAACGCGCATTTCTTTCCGAACAACCTGATATTAACTATGGTCCCATGTGATGATTGGACCGTTTTTCTCCTGTCCTTGACTGGTGAATAAGAAAGAAAAGTGGAAAATGGAACAAAATATCAAGAAACAGCAACTTGAAGGAAAGAATGTTACTTTCTCTACCGTTATGTTATTAAGGCTTCGACGAGCTGCTGCAGAAAAAAAGTTCGACGTGCAAGTGAACTGCGTATCCGAGTACCTCGCCTCGCTGGCTTTAGTCGGACCAAACAGCAGAAAGGTAAGTCAATCTTTGACTTCGAGACCATAACTCAGCGGACTCACTGGAGGTACTAGATCTCTAGTACGCTAAAAGTGTCAGGGTAGGCGTTTGATACTGCGCAAATCTGGGAATTGACAGGGTTTTCAGCGTTCAGACTTGCTACCAGGGCGCGCCATCACGTTGTGATCATTTCCTGACAAATACGACCCCCCTCCCATGCTACCTACCACTTTCCTAGATTTTCCCAACTTCCTACCACTTTTTCCATTTTTTCCCAAAAATTTCCAGTTTTTCAGCCAAGAATTTTCCGTCGAGCGAGGGGGGGGGTGGGTGAGGTCGTCAGGATTTAGCTATCATTTTCAACTATCGAAAAGGATAAAGTTGTATAGATCTTTGGCAGTCCCTCTCTCAACAACGGCCAAATACGACCCCCTCCCTCGCTGTTAAATACGACCCCCCGTTGTGCTCGTCACAACGATGGCGTGCCCTGCCTGGAAAGCAGTGCAATAACATGAACTCCATTTACACATAACAGGAATCTACAGGCTTTGCCAAGGTGAGAGGTACATTTCACTTTAAGAGGAGCTAGTGGCGGAAGTGCAAAATGTCCCCTCCCCCCTCTTCTTGAGCCAAACAGAACCCAAAAAGTAAATCGTTTTGTTGGAAAGCAGTAGTCACCACTATGCAAGTGAGCATTATTTTATCTTAACAGTTTGGTTGTTCAGGAGATGTTGACATCGGGCTCTGCGGCTTCATTAGCAGCTTTGTCGAATCGCTCAGTCCATGGAAGCGATGGGGAAGCAGACGCTAATGAGGTTGGTTGAACCGCAACTTTTTCAACGTCTGGTGACGCGTATTAACATTATATCTGAAATTCTGCGTCCAAGAAATGTTGTGGTTGTACAAACATTGATAAACAAATGTCTTCCCCCCACCTCCGTACGCAACTATCACCTTTATGGTATTTCCCCAATTTTCGTGTAGCATGGAACTACGATGCTGAAGGATAAAGGATGCAGTCTTAGTCGCTGATTAATCCTTTTTTGCAATGTGGCGCGCATTTACTTCCGTCTCGTAGTGGCTTACTAAATGCGATGTGGACCTATACAATGAGTTGCGGGGGCCAACCGATGTACAAGTAAGTGTTTTATCCTCCCAGACGAATTTGGTACGAATTACCATCCCGGAGGTTTGGTTGGTCTAAAAGAATCCTTACCTTATTCGCTTTGTGCTGCTTGGAAATGTGTCGAAGAAACCGACTGGTGCTACTACATCATAATTGCTCGCCAACATTTTGGTTTTGTGGACTTTCTGAGAAGTTTTTGTGAATTCCTGCTCCGCCAATTTCGCCGACGCTTGGATTGAGCAGCAGAGGAACTGCCAGTTGTGTTTAGTTAGCTGATCGAAACTCCTTAAAAACCTCCAGCTATCCCATAAAAACAGTAGTGAACAGGTTCAAGGGACGCGTTTATACCTTGCGCTATTGAAGAATAGAGAAATCGCGAAAGTACTGAAATTGAGAATTGAAGATCGCTGTTATTGTTTGATAACTGCTGTTTAACACTGCAGTGCGAAAGTTATCACAAGAATGCTGATTTGTGGGCGAAAGTCAGACCACGGGTAGGTTTCGAACCCGCCTCTTCCGCTTTCCGTGCGGTTGCGTTCCCTATTGAATTGAAGATCGATCAGCAAGTACGTAAGTGGACCTCCTCTCGGGATATGGTCCCTGGCCCATTGCCAGCTCTGACGGAAAGTTGCGAAAAGATGGCCCCATCACTGGTCGGTACAATTTATCAGAAAACGATTTCGTATCCCTCACGGTTCACTGCTACTGACTGCCAGACCAATGTACGCATTGACTTATTTGATGTTGATTATGGCCAACTGTGAGATTTTCTCGCTAGTTCGTTCGTGTAATGTGTTTCTATGTTGATCAAGTTTCAACCTGGTGACTCCTTCACTATTGTACGTACTTTTGCGGAGAGCGAAAGATCCCTCTTATAATTCTGTGGCTCGTTTTCCCGCACATACTGTGTTCGACACAGGCGGAGCGTCCTGCCCCGCTAGCGCGAAAAAAAATTGCGAAGAGTTACGATCCACCTGCCCACAACAGCTGCCAACTAGATTACTCCTCGCTCTGCGTACGCGGTGGTACCCTCCATTCCTTAGTCGCTCAGCTTAATTTTATCTCACTCATGTTGCTATTCTATGCATATTTGTTCATAGACTTGAATAATCGTTAGCCCGGAGAAACTTTTTGCAATTCATTTTCTAATCACTGCGATATACTTCGAGCCACTGTGGCGTGTTGGAGCAGATATAAGACAGTACATCGTCACAAGATGTGGCAAACAATGAGACTCTGAACAACGAAAATGTATAATTCAAACAAGACCAAATTTTTTGCATAAATGACACCGAGTAGTTTTTCATTTAAAAAAGTCGCAGAAATGTCCTCCTCAAAACCCTCGTACAATCGAACCCACGGCGAAGATACATCGCTCCGCTTAATTATCCCAAGCCCAAAACTTACCCCTGATTCGAAATGGAAGCCTGAAATTCTAGTGGTACCACTTTTATTTTGCTTTTTACTATTGGAAAATTGTTGAAAACTCGTTCTAATTAGTTTCATCAATGAAAGGAGGACCTTTTCTAGGTTGAATCAGTTGTGAGCAGTCGCGTCGCTGTAGACGACTCAATCTTCACGTTCGGTTCTGGTTCCACTACTCCTCCTTTGAATAAGTTACAGGTATTGCACTTGTTACAATTATAATATATACTATTTCCTCTCTCTATGAATTTTGTTTGGTGCTAACGAAGTTCACCGAAAGGGGGGGGGGCAGGCGTGCGGTGGCGCATCGGCGTGGCTTCCTGTTCTCATCACACAGGCTTAGGAGAGCGGAAAAGCCTACGTTTGGCGCATCATAGTCTCGCCAAGCAGATCTACTCGCACCTCCCTCCCGTGGATTACCTTACAAGGGAATGGTTTGAACTTCCCATGGAACTTTGAATGGAGACCTAGGTACATCGATAGAGCCTCGAATGCTGATTACGAATATGCAGATTAAAAGTGCTACGGGGACCTCCCAGACGAGATCTGGGTGGTCAAAGTTTGCGAAAACTCGGTTTTGGCTCGTAAGCGCTGCTGATCGGTCTCGTAAGCGACTGCTGATCGGTCGTTGGGCAGTGTCACCGTGGCCTAGTGGTAGTGGTCTCGCTTCAAAGCCAAATGCTCGTGGGTTTGCATCCCGTTGGCGCGAAAATTTTTGCTTCGTCTCCTATAAGAGCTTTCACTCTAATTTTCGAAATTCTTCCGTGTTTACGGCCCAGCAGAGCAAGTATATCAAGTATATGACGCAGTCGATCGAGTATTGATTGATCACTATCTGTCCTCTCTGAACTCATTACCCATTTTCGAAGTTTCGAAGTTTTGACCAGAAACTCGCTCGTGGGGGTATTCTGGCCCCCTGAAAACGAATATCATATTCGTTTGAGCGAGAAAACGCTTGTAGCCTTTCACGTTGTTGTAGTCA